GATTTCAATGAAAAAACAAACTACAGGAACACTAGAAGAAAACATAGGCACCATGGAATAATCTACAGAATTATGACGAAAAAATATGTTTAGATCTTAAACAGCAAGACTGTAATAAGATCTACAATCAAGACCAAGCGTGTAAATAATTAACATGCCCATACAAGCAGCAATACATGTTTTGCAGGAACACATACAAATCAAAGTGTGTACAAAAAACACTTCAGAATGATTGACCATGGGAAGTGGAGGAAAATTAACGGGGAATGGGGATGCTAAAAAATATCTATTAAAACTAAAAGGAAAATACAAATTACATATAATAAGTATAAAAATTATTTAAATACAGTTGATAGTTTAATTTCTTGAGTTTTTTAAACTTTCAGTAAATATCTTTTAAATAAAATTATTTGTAATTGTGGTGTTCAGAGTTTGTTTGCCAATGTAAACAATTAATATTACCCTTCATATATTTTATGTGTAGATCCAGAAATATACAAATATACAAGTACTGTGAATTGTTTAATATCATAAAATGCTCCTCAGCTGCCACGTGCAACAGTTGTAAATATCATACAAACCATGAATGGAACGTGAAGAAAAGCAAATAAATGGATGTTCAGCACCACTGGAAATGATACCTTCACTATGCAAGCATCTTTTGCAATTATTATCCTTGGGTGGAAGGACTGAACAGGTTACCTTGTCTTTTTTCACCTAAGCACTTCCACCATTCATATTCTCCCACACAGTGAAGCATTACCTGCCTCCAATCTTGGCAAGAGCCCGCTCATAACTCTTCAGGACATTCAGATACAGTCATCTTTTGTTTTTAAGACAAACAGCAAAAGATATGGAGAAGTATTCTATGGAGCTTGAAAGGCATTAGCCAAGAGAGTGTACGGTTAGGGTTCAGAGTTTACGGGTTATGTTTACCAGTAGTCGACACTGGACCTTGAGTGACAACGCATCCAGACACTTGTTAATATGTATAAAATATAAGGCCATTTAAGGCGTTTCCCAGGACAGGAAATCCTATTGCCTGAGGCTGAGTAAGTCTCATTTTATGGCCTTACCCATTTCCACTCATCAGCTCAGGGCAGAAGAAAAAGAAAGCAGATAGGTTTGTTACCAAAGTCTGAGGCTTATCAAAGTAGGAATGCATGAGGTTAAGGAAATAACACTTTCTGACAAGGAATGAGGTGTATTTTTGAAATAGCAGAACACAATGTGAAGCCAGAATGAGTCTAATAAACTGAGGAAATTGAGAGATTAAAAGACAGGAAATTCAAAGACTGATGAAGAGCAGATTTGGGAGACATGGTGAAAAAAGTGACTGTGGCCAAAAAGTAGAATTTTAGAATCTTATATCTTAGAGAGGAAATATTTTCAACTGCGAGTGAGGTTATATAACCTGGTAGATGAAGCAGTGTGAGAAACATGCCGGGTACTTAAAAGGGTCATTGTCCTGGAGGTAGATGTCATGGAGGATAATGTCTGGGAATGGAAAGAGAAGACTGAATCTCCTGCTAAAATAAACAAATGAACTTCAATTAAGTAGGCAAAAAGGAGAGATCACCAGCGCAAGTGCAAGTACAGCCCTGCCAATTACGGATAAGGAGCAAAAGAAATTGTTGGGAAAGAGCCCAAAGCAACATGACAGGTTTGAGGTGACAAATAAAAATGGCAAGTAATAGGATATATTGGAATATATGAGGAAGCCATTTGGTGTAAACCTAATTCGGCCTGACCTTGTCTTTCCAAAAGGGCCTGACCGAGGCCGTTGAGCATGCACTGTATATCTGCTTTAGATATTCCCTATGGCAAGAGCAAAAGGCCCTTGAGATAAAGGCGCAACTTCCCTCCCCCTCCCAACGTTGGTGTCTCTTTAAGGATTAAGCATCTTTCCTTAGGCTAGAAAGTGATTGCTGCGCTCACCTGTGACGCCCAGCTTGAGACAATAGACTTGCCTCCTGCGAAGCCCACCAAGATAGCAGACCCACTACCTGCTGTGTCCATGAAGCGCTGTGCCAACAGGGCAATCTTGTGACTATTGTGGGAGGGACATTTCAATCATATGTGAAACACCCTCTTTGAGGGTATATAACCACCCTGTTTACCCTCACTTCTTTGGAGTGCTCTGTTCCTTTGTGGAAAGACTCTCCCGGGTTATAATCCTAAAATTTAAGCTCAGAATAAACTCACCCAAATTTTCATTTATAGATTAGTTATGGATTATTTTCGTCGACAGAGTTGAGGGAACTACCGAAAAGGTCAGATTCCATGAGTGCTAAGAGTGGATTTTAAAGAAGTTTTCTCTCTGATGTATTTGAGTAGCAGTCTCGAGACTAGAAAGAAAGGAGGGCTAACAAGCAAGGAGAAAAGAGGGAGATGTAAGACAAATGCAATTCTGCAATTAGCAATATGAGAGAGAATTAACTCCAAAGCTGTCTGGACGTCAATCAACTTTTCAACTGTCTAGAGGTAGAGGCAGAGGAAAGGAAGATCCACAAAGATCCAGTCAAGGTTGACTGTTGGAAAATACAGCCCTATCCAAAACGCAGCTACCTCCGGCACTGCCGCCTCTGGAGGAAGGCTACCTACTGGGAATGGAACTAGTAGGCCATTTGTGGTTTTCTCTTTTCAGTTCCAGACAAATTCGCTATGAAGAGTTTAACTGCTCTCGGAGCCTGGATCTGGACTACATACAGACCCAGCTGGGAGAATTTTAAAGGGAGCTCGGTCGCTCACCCTGCAACCTGAAAGAAGGGCCATCATAACCACACAGGTGAGGTGCGCTGCTGAAGGAAATCCAGACGCTCCTCCGCCCGCCCCCGGTATCCTCTCTGCTCTTCTGCTGAGAAAGGGGCGGCGGCGGTGCCTTAGCCCTGTACTTCCCGTCCTTAGCACGCATTAGAATTGCCTCCTCGACCCCGGAATGCCGTCCCCACTCGCAGAGTTTCAAATTCTGTAGGTCTGGAACGGGGCAGTATCTGCATTTTGACCAGGTTCACCTGTGCCGGTCGGGACCAGCTTTGTGAGCACTAGTTTTAGGGTAGGTCCGGTCAAAGAACCCGGCCCCCTCCCCAAGGTGTAGGCTGGGCTTGCTAGGTGTTCCCAACTAGTCTGGAGGGAAGGGGACACTCCTCGCGCGTCCTCAGCACCCGGCGCGCTGCAGCTGCGGTGGCGGGCCGCGCGGGCTGGGCCGTGGTGGGCGCGGAGAGGGAAGGACCCGCCCTCGCCTGGACCCTCTGGAGGGGGAGTCCGCGGCGGCGGCGCGGAGCAAGCGCGCCAGCCTCACTGTCGCGCCAGCTTCCTGGCCGCGAGGTGGCCCTGCGCCGCGTGGGCCGGGAAGGGCGTCCCTGTGGGGTCCAGCCTCCACATTAGCTGCGCGGGCAGGCGGGCCACGAGGGAAAGCTCTCCGCACTCCAGGCGGCGCCCCAAACCGCGAGCTGGCACGACTCCGGGGCCCCGGGCTCGCTGCCCGTTCCGTGCTCCGCGCGCTGGTCCCACGCTGCGGACCCGAGGGAGAGCGCGTCGGCCCCAGGCTCAGGCTCGGCTGCCCCGGGCGGCGGCGGGGGGCGGGGATGGGGAGGGTCTCCCAGGGAGGGGGCGGGTCCGTGGGGGCAGGACGGGTGCCCGGGCGGTGGCCGGGGCGGTCTTCTTCTAAGCCTGCAAGGCCGCCGCGGGAGCCGCCCGATCGTGGTGCGGAGCTGCCTGGCGCAGGGTAGGTGGGCGCCGGCCTGGGCGCCCCATGGAGCCCGGACACCCAGACGACTACCCCGGGACCCGCTCAGCACCTCCCGCGCTGGGGGGTTCCCTCCCAGTCCTGGGCCCACTCCACAGCCAAGTGCACCGTCGGTGTAGACGGCCTCCTGGGGTTTTCAGCGAAGTCGCCTCAAGTTCTGGATTTTTTTCCTCTGGGCCCTTCATTTAGGTTCCCTTGAGGTTCTGCCTTGTCCCTTCGGTCATCTCCCCGGAAAGCTCTGAGCGTCCTCTGAGCTCACCCGTCTCCCCGGACTCTTCCAGCCCACAGTGAGGAGCTCCCTGTCCCTCGAATCAACCCAAGAGGGTTGTGCGCGCGCTTCTTCCCGGTCTTTGTCCGGTTTAATCTCCAGACCCCCGTCTGTTTCTCCCCTGACCTCCCTCCTTTCTACTCATCCTAGCTCTGCCTAAGGTAATGCTCATTAGGCCCATGGTAAAGCTGAAGCGTATGGAGGCGACATAGATTTTTGAGTGATTCTGGCAACTCATAGAGTTGTTCAAAAGACATTTGTCGAGCACCTGCTGTGATTCAGGCACTGCTCTGGGTGGTGGGGACACAGCCCTGCGCCGGGCATCGTACTTCCCCCATCCTAGATGTTTGCAGCCCGCCCAACTTTGCAAGGTTGCACTGGGTCAGCCTACCTTAGACTCATAGAATTTTTGGTACGTGAAGGAAAGGGTATTTGCCCCAGGGCGAGCAGCGTAAAGAAAATAATGGACCACCCATTGAGAAGTGTTCTGGGAACTGATGAGATGGCTCCTACAGTAGCACAGAATTGGAAAATTGAGTTGGAGATAAAAATTGGGACCTACCCTACACAGGCGATCCTTCTACATTCCAGCCAGTGTGCTCTACTAAGCAGCAAATTATTCAGTCCGTTCCTTAGCAGTTGAATGATTCTGGCAAATTTCCCAGAGATTCTTCTCTCTTGACAAGCTTCTTTGACTGAGGCTTGATCTTCTCTAAAATGTAACTTGTGTCTGAAAACCCAGTTATTTAGCAGGAGGCCCTTCCACGCAGCTGTTCTCCTTCCGGTTACTGGACACGGCCTTGAGGTACTGTCTGCAACGCGTGCAGGTGGTGCAGAAGTCCAGGGACAGCTATGCAGAATTCTGCCTTCCAGTGGGGCCACCTCCATCTCCCTCACCATCCTCCATGGCCAAGGCCTCTCCCACCTCCCGCCTCCATCGCTGCCTAGGGGCTGTCTGACCTCTATTCCTTGTGTCTGCTTAGTATGCAGGCCTTCCTGGTGAGACTTGTGGGCCTCCTGGGCCTGTCTTCAGGGTTACTGGTAACCGCTCAACTGGGAAGAGACCTCTCAGCCAGGTATGTTTGAGAAAGAAGGGTTGGGAAGTTTCTCTTTACAGTGGAGCTGTGCCCAGGGCCCCTGGGTGTCTCAGGGGTAACACACGTCCTTTGTCCTTGCAGGGTGAATCAGACTTTCCTGACTCCCTACCACATGAGGAACCGCCATGTGGGTCTGAAAGTTGAGGGCTCAAACTTCACACTAGATGGCTTTCCTTTCCTGATCATCTCGGGTACCATCCACTATTTCCGAGTGCCCAGGGACTACTGGAGGGACCGCCTCTTGAAGCTGAAGGCATGTGGCTTCAACACTGTCACCACGTGAGTGCCCCTAGTAATTATTTCAACAATTTATAGGCTGAATTTCTAGTCCTGAGACTTTATTAGGCCAGTCTGAGAGTTCACCGTTTTAGTACTTTCCTCAGTGTTCTAGGATGGCTCGGTTTCCACTTGGTTCCTGAGAATCTCCTGTAACTAGAGCCTGCCCCAATTGCTCCGACAGGCTCTGTCTCAACAGGGTCTCTACAGACTGCACATAAGGGTCTAACTTCCAGAGGCAGTGGCAAGTACAGATGGCTGCAGCCCCAGTGGTCCCTGACTCCTGCAGCCGTCTGGGCACAGCGGGCCTCAGCCCTCCCTGGATATCCTCACTTGCCATGGAAGTCATGGCCCCGGTGATGAGTCCCAGGATAGGACACTGTTGCAGAAAATCTGTCTTTGAAGATGGGTTTCATTGAGAACCAGGCGTGGCAAATAATCTCATCATCCTCATTCCGGAAGCTGAAATTGACAAAAATAAGTAATTTCTTTCTTGCCTTCTTACGCTTAGAAAGTGCTTATCCATTACTGTGTTGATAGTCAGTTTTAGTTATGTCCTCTTTTTCAATGTTTTCCTTTTTAAAATACAGGTTTAGAAGAAAAATATCTGGAATTTCATTTGGTGAACGATGGGGAATGATGGTTAAAGCATTTCCCCCTAAACTGTCATAATACCTTTTACACATCACATCATTTTTCCTCATTATTTTGTTGCTTTTTTGTAGCAGTGATTCAGGCATTGATGTTTCATGAACTATTAAAATCTTAAAAACATTTGTGGACCTAGTAGGACTGCCAAGTTTGTTTGTTTGTTTTTAGTATCCTTGCTTAGAAAAATAAAAAGCATCACCATTATTTCATAAACTGTAAGACATTCTAGGTCATTCAAAGAGGAAGAAGAGCATTATCTCAGAATAAAGGCAGCCTTATGCGTTGAATACATTTAGCATTATAAAAAGACTGCATTGTCTTTTTTTTTTAATTAGTAGCTAGTCAGCCGTAGTCTTGTAGAGACAGACCTAGAGTCGGACAGAATGAGATTTACTGACTTTCAGGAGGGGTGCATTCCAGAGGAATTGTGGAGTGCCAGTCTCAACAAAGGGAAGGGGAGAAGGGACTTCTGTGAGATCAGATTCCTGCCGGGAACTCCACAGGGAGTCTAGGAGCAGCAGGGATAAATCCTGGACTAGTTGTTTCTGATGTAGGATTAGAAGCAGCGGGAATTAACTAGGGACTGGGTGCTGGCATGAGGTGAGGGCAGTTTAGCAATTGGGTCTCCCTAGAAATAGACGGGAATAGCAAAGGGGGTCTGGGGTGCCGTTGGTGAGAAAGCAGTATTCACTCAAAGAGGTGACATGTTACAACTGCTAAACTACGTTGGGGGAAACAGTGTTTCCTATTAACTTTTCGTGTGGCTTTGTCTGTGTTTACTTCCCAGTGTGAAAACAACAGAGCTGGTTTTTCTTTTTTAGCCAAGGTAATTTTCATTCTTTAATCTTGAACAGGTTTTCAATCATTAAAGACTTATGGATTCACAAAAACTTTGCCTCCGAGTCGATAGATGTTGACCAGTGTTTGAGAACACTCTGCCGGGTTTTGTCTCCAGGCTGTCGTTGGTTGCATTGCATGATCTATTTGTTCTTGTACCATCACAGCACTTTTAGTTTATGATATGGTTAGGTATAGATTTTTTTATATTTATCCTGCTTTGTGTTCTCTGAGCTTCCTGGATCTGTGCTTTGCTATCTGTCATTAATTTGGGGAAATGTCAGCCATTATTTCTTCAAATATTCCTTCCTTCCTTTCTCTTCCTAGTCTCCTTCTGGTATTCCCATTACATCTGTGTTATAACATTTAATAATTGTCCCAGAGTGCTTGGATATTATTTTCCTTTTTTCCATTCTTTTTCTCTTTGCAATTCAGTTTAAGAAGCGTTTATTGTCATGTCTTCAAGCTCGCTGATTCTTTCCTTGGCTGTGTTCAGTTTCCCAATGAGCCCATCGATGGTGTTCTTCATTTCTCTTTCGGTGTCTTTGATCTCTAGCATTTCCTTTTTGTTCTTTCTTAGAGTTTCCGTCTCTCTGCTTGTATTACCCATCTGTTCTTGTTTGTTGCCACTTTTTCCTTTAGCATAGTAACCACAGTTGTTTTAATTCCCAGTCTAATAATTCCAAAATATCTGCCATATCTGAGTCTGGTTCTCATTCTTGCATCCAATTGTCCCTTTAGACTGTTTTTTCTGTTTTGTGCATGCCTTATAATTTTTGTTGAAGGCTTGACATGATGTCTTGGATAGAAGGAACTGAGGTAGATAGGCCTATGGTGTGAGGTTTTACGTTTATCTGGCTGGCATTTACACCATGTTTCCTGTTGGCTGTAACTGGTCTCAGAGGTTAAAGTTTCCTCCTGTGTCCTTGTTTTTGTCTCCCCTGTTGTCTTTGTTTTTTCCTGGTGATTCCTTCTTCAGTAGGGTCTGAATCTTATAGTTCCTTTAGCTATAATCCGCTTTTATTATGCAGGAGGCTTATTGATGTGGTGGCAAGGTATGGGGTGAGGGTGAGACTGTGCTTTAGTCCTATGATTAGTTCTCAGCCTTTCTGTGAATCTGGGGTGGGTGTTTCCCATCTGCCTGAAGGCTGTTGTTCCATCATGTGGAAGGCTGGAATGTGCTAGATTTGGATATTTCCCTTTCTCCATATGGATGTCTAGAGAGGTATTTCCCTTCCCCAGGCTGGTTAGGCTCTAGCAAAATGGTTTCCTTTGAAGGCAGAGGTTTTTTGAGGAGAACAGAATGCTCTGGACTTATTTTTAAATGACTGCTTTTCCCCTCCACCGCAGGACACAGGAGGGGATTTCTCTTAGATCTTCGTGGTGAGAATCTGCTAGGGCTTCTGGTGGTAAACTGCATGAAAGTGTGGGGGCTCCCTGCAAGACTGCCCCATCCTTCAGAGTTTGTAACTCTCCAGCCAGTCTATACTGAGCCTCCAGTAATTCATCAGTTGCAGTTTAAGTGTTCCTACCAAGGGTGTAAATTCCAGGCCAAGAGCTGGCAGGATGGAGACCCCAGAAGAGCCAAAGTTTCAGTCTGAGTCTGAAGCAGGAACAGGCCAATGTCCCAGCTCACAGTCAGGCGGGAGGAGTTCCCTCTTACTCAGCCTTTTTGTTCTATTCAACTCTTCAGTTGACTGAATAAGGCCACTCACATCAGGGAGAACAACCTGCTTTACTCAGTCTACAGGTTCAGACGTTGCTGTCATCCATAAACACCCTCACACACACACCCAGAATAACGTTTGACCAATGTCTGGGCACCCTGTGTCCAGTCAAGCTGACACAGTTATACTGGCTGTCTCTCTGTCTCTCTCTAGTTTTCAGGGGAATGGTTTCCCCTGTGACCTCAGTTCTCTGATGGATAAAGAAACATTTCAACAGCTTTCAGCTTTTTCCCTGTTGTGAGGATGGGAGTGACAACTTCCAAGCTCTTTACTTGTTGGACCGGAAACTGGAAGTCTTTATGATGCTTTCTCACAGTTAAAGAAAAACTTGCTCATTTTTTCTTTTTTTTCCTCATTGGGGGGTTTGGACCTACCAAGGATTTGGACCTTACTGTAGTGGATGTCGTTAATTCCTTTTTTCCCCATTCTTCTTTATTTTTAAAGTAATATTTTATTGAAATTTAACATGTATACAATGTATAAGCATGTAGCCCAGTAAATTTTAGTAAAGTGAACATACTTCTGTAACCAGCCCCAAACCTTGTAATATGCCAACATCTCTGAAGCTCTCTTATCCCGCTACACTCATGACCTCCCTCTAAAAGGTAACTACTATTCATTCTTCTAATGCAGATATTAATTTGGCCTGTGTTTGAACTTTATGTAAATAGAATCATACAATATGTACTCTTTTGTGTCTGATATCTTTTTCTCAAGATTGTGAGATTCATCCATAATTCCATATATTTTAGCTTCTTTATTCTCATAACTGTATAGAATGTATAGAATTCCATTGATAATCATACCAAAATGTATTCTTCTTGTGGATAGACATTTGGGTTATTTTTGGGTGTTAGCTATTATAAATAGTGGAGCCATGAATAATTTTGTACTTCTCTCTTGGTGACACTGTGTAAACATTTCTGTTGGATATATATCTAGGAATGGATGTGATGGACAATGGGGTGGGTATATGTTCAGCTTTAGTAAAAATGTCAACTAGTTTTCCAAAGATTCTAAAGACTGTACAAAATTAGTGGCCTTATGTGTGTTCATGCTGTGTTGCAACCATCTCCACTATCAATATCCAGAACTTTTTCGTCATCCCATACTGAACCTCTGGAGCCCCTGAATAATAACTCCCCCTTCTTTCCTCTCTCCAGTCCTTGTAACCACTGTCCTACCGTCTGTCTCGCTGAGATGGACTACCCTAGGCACCTCGTGCACCTGGAATCATGCAATATTTGTCCTTTTGTGTCTCACTTATTTCACTTAGCATAATATGGAAGCTTCATTTATGTTGAGGCGTGTGTTGGACTTCACTCCTTTTTAAGACTGAATAATATTCCATTGTATGTCTATACTATATTTTGTTTATCCACTCATCCGTGGATAGGTACTTGGGTTGTTTCTGCCTTTTGGCTGTTGTGAATAATGCTGCTGTGAACATTGTTGTGTAAATATCTATTTGAGTCCTGCTTTCAGTTCTTTTGCGTATATGCCAAGAGGTGGGATTACTGGATCAAATTGCGATTCTGTATTTAATTTCTGAGGAACCTCCTGTTTTCCACAGGAGCCACACTGTTTTACGTTCCTGCCAGCATTGGAGGAGCATTCCAATTTCTCTACATTCATGCCAACACTTGTTTTCTGTTTTTGTTTGTTTTTTAAATAATAGCCATCCTAATGATTGTGGATCATTAGGCCTCACTGTGGTTTGGATTTGCATTTCCCTAATGGTTAGTGATGCTGAGAATCTTTTCGTGTGTTTATTGGCCATTTGCATAC